TTTATTTATTATAATAATTAATATTTATTTTTTAATTTTTACCTTTATTTATAATTAAAAAAGTTTAATACAAGTTTATGCCTTAAGAGACAAAGATTAACATTTAAAGATTTACTATTTAAATAAAAAGTAAGACTACTAAATTAAAACATCTTTACATAGAAAATGAGATAATCACATCAAAATAAAGTAAGTCATAATTTCAAGGTAAAACCCTCAAAACCTCTCTTAAAAAATATCGGTAGATACACATCTACCCCTAAAAAAAATGAAAGATAAATTACTCCCTCAAATTATAAATTAATACAAATCACATTTTTTTTAATGAAAACCGTTAAAATTTTATTTGTCAAATCAACATTTTTTAACAAAAAACGCTAAAAAATAGGTGATTTATATTGATTTATGATTTAAAAAGACAATTTATCCCTTCATTTTTTTAAGGAGTAAATATATACCAATCAGTATTTTTTAAGGACGGATTTGAGGATTCTACTTAATTTCAAATTACTACATAAATCCAAATGATTAATTGAGATCAAATTCAAACCTATTAGTAATTGTCTTAATTTTCCACCTAAAAGTGCAACCAATGCACTAAAAAAGCAAAAAGCAAACACAAATTTTCAAAACAAGAACAAGAAAATAGGCACAAATTAAGGCTTTTTAGGTAAATTCACGTTCCTCCCCACTCCCTAAAATATCCCAACAGCTAAATCCCATATCTCCCTCAATCTAAGGAAGGGCTCACATAATATTATCCCAATTTTTAACATTCTTAAAAATAAAAATTCCAAAAACCCAAAAAGAATCAGGAAAAAACAAAAAAGGGAAAATATTTTTTTAAAAAGGAAAATACAGAAGCACACAGTACCTTCTTCTCTATGCGCACGCAAGCTTGGGCAGAGCCTGCCCTTCGGGAATTCATCTCCCCCAATACCCATTAACCAAAAACCCACCATAAAGGTGCAATCTTGGGTTCAATTACACGCTAGAATCCATGACTTCAGTACAATGACCCGATTCTCCAAGTCTCGGAGCTCCAAACCCGAACAAGAGGCCAGAGGCGGAGGAGCTGCCATGAGAGTGATAGTTCCTTTACAAGGGGTGGTTCAAGGTAGGGGAGGCCTGGTGTTGGGCTCCATAATACCTTGCGTTCTCTTCTACTTTCTCCAACTCTACCTTAAACGCAACCGGAATGACGCAGATAGTGAGAACGAGCAGAATCCCGGGGGTCCCAATACGACTACGCGGTCCTCTTCTTCGGGGCAGCTGCCAGAGCTTGACGCGATTCCCCGGAGTCTGTCTCGGGCGCTGTTATCGCCAAAAAGTCCTAGTGGACCCGTTTCAGTATCGGCTCGGGCAAATGGGATTGTGAAGGGTGGTGCTGAGTCTCCTTACAACGTGGGGTTGAAGCGAGTCAAGGAGGATCCTTACGATGAATTGGCTAATCCAAATGGGGTTATCCAGCTGGGTTTGGCAGAGAACAAGGTAAGCTTCGAGTTTTTCTCCTTGTAGTTTCTGTTGGTTTGATGTTTGATTGACTGGTATTCATTTTTGTTTGTGTTTTTTTTTGTTTTTGCCTTATGCTGGTGTAGTTGTCATTGGATTTAGTTAACGAGTGGCTGGTGGAGAATGCAAGAGAAGCGTTATTGGCAGGTGGAGGAGAGTTGGGTATTAGTGGGATTGCTACGTACCAGCCTTTTGATAGATTGATGGAGTTCAAAGTGGTATATATATATATTTTTTTTTCTAATGTTCATTACTGACTGGTTTAGCATTTTCTTACATTTCCTCATTCTCTGGAATTTGTCAGTTATGAAATTTTGTTTGAATTTATCTCATTGCCTTCACTTTGTAAGTATGGACTTTAGGACTGGACACTTCAGGGATTTAGAGTGAGTGAGCAACTATGCTGTCAATCTGTGCTGGAGGAGAATGGTTGTGTGGAAGATTCAGATGAATAGTCAAAATTATTGTGGATTTGTCTCTGTTGATAAAGTTAGCTTGTGAGATTTTCTAGTTTTAGTATATCAGTTTCTTTTGAAAGCATTTACACTATCAAGTGATTTCTGTCTTAATACATTAACAATGGAGAAACTGAAATGTTAGTTGATGATGAAGCTAATAGCAACATAAGTGATTGCTATATAAGCTTTATTTTCCTGTTGTCACTAATTGTCACATAAGTAGATGGTGGCATATTGCTAGTTTGGGAGTCCACTTGACCATTATATAAACAACAGTGAAATCTTAGGTCATCTCAGAAATTCATCTTCTATATGATGAAGTTGCCTTTTAATGATTACATGCACGGTATTTCTTTCATGAAATCTGTATCTGAAAAACGGAGTTATTCAACTCCTGCTGGCTGTGATGAATATTTCCTAAGATTTTGGAGTAAATGAATTAACTTGCCTGGAAGCTTTGTGTTTTGACATGCCATATTTTGCAGGCTGTGGCAGAATTTATGTCTCAAGTCATGGAAAAAGTAGTTTCCTTCAATCCTAACCAGATAGTATTAACAGCTGGTGCAACCCCTGCAATTGAGATTCTAAGCTTCTGCTTAGCAGATTCTGGAAATGCATTTCTTGTTCCCACACCATATTACCCTGGGTAATTTTAACTTAATTCAAAAGTTTTCATCTGTTAACCACCTTTATTTTTGGAAAACTGAAGCCTTGAACAAAATGTGCAGTTTTGACAGGGATGTAAAATGGCGGACTGGAGTAGAGATAATACCTGTTCCTTGTCGGAGTGCTGACAACTTCAATATAAGTATAACTGCTCTCGATCGAGCATTCATCCAGGCTAAGAAACGTGGTCTCAAAGTGCGTGGGATAATAGTTTCAAACCCCTCAAACCCTGTTGGCAATCTGCTAAGTCAAGAAACACTTTATAGCCTTCTAGATTTTGCCAGGGAGAAGAACATTCATATAGTATCTAATGAAATATTGGCAGGCTCTACTCATGGAAGTGAAGAGTTTGTAAGCATGGCAGAAATCATCAATCAGGAAGATCTTGACCGGAACAGAGTTCATATAGTATATGGCTTGTCGAAAGATCTCTCTCTTCCCGGTTTTAGGGTTGGTGTTATCTATTCCTTCAACAACGAAGTTCTGGCTGCTGCTAAAAAATTGGCAAGGTTCTCATCCATTTCAGCTCCAACCCAGCGTTTGTTAATCTCAATGCTTTCGGATACGAAATTTGTTCAGAAGTTTATTAAAGTTAATAGGGAGAGGCTCCAGAAAATGTATGTCAAGTTTGTAGCAGGGTTGAAAAGGTTGGGAATTGAGTGTACAAAGAGCAATGGGGGTTTCTACTGTTGGGCTGATATGAGCGGATTGATCAGCTCCTACAGTGAGAAAGGGGAGCTTGAGCTTTGGGACAAGTTGTTGAATATAGCCAAGATCAATGTAACTCCAGGATCTTCTTGTCATTGTATCGAACCTGGATGGTTCCGCTTCTGTTTTAGTACATTGACAGAGAAAGATATCCCTGTAGTTATGGAGCGAATTCAGAAAGTTTCTGAAATCTGTAAATCTCGAAGTTGAAATGCTGTTGGTTTATTTTACAATGTTAGACCCTTGCAGATTTTTTGATTGGAAATTCTCCTCTCTCAGTTGCTGGTGTAAAAAGTAGAAGTAGCACTTGACTTGGGTTCTGAGGACTGGTATCAGCAATATATTAACAACCCTCGGACTCATATAATAGCTTCTGAATATCTAATACTTCCGTGCAAGTGGAATTTGTTTATATCAAAAGCTCTTGTATATGGTTATATGTATAGGGATTTGTACACAAACTGAAGCTTTGGTATATTATTGTTTCAATCATTCATGTATAGTAAATTAGTAATAAGCTTCATTAATAAATAATGGTATGGAAGATTCTGTTTCACTGGTTTCTTTCATTTGCCTACTTTTCTTGCTCTGCCCAATTTAAATCAGCACTGCAGTGGAGTTGATGATGGCTCACCGGTAGCTTGGGTTAAAAAAATTGAATTTGAGACTCCAACTTGCGGGTCTTATGTTGAAACCTGAAAGGGTGGAAAGAGATTTGATGTTTTGAATTTGACATACAAAAGATGAAATGCAGTTAAAGAAGAGCTTACGGAAAGGAAAAGATGGGGATACATTCATCATTAAAAGGACCAAAAATAAAAAGGAAAAGCAATCTAGAAGACCCTTTAAAGTTGCAAAACACCAAAGCTACGTCATTAAATTCTCAACCTTTTTCTTTCCCCACTTTATACACCCCATTAATAGACTAACAATGAACATCTACTTGGAGTATTCAGCTGTTTTGTGAGAATAAAAGGCAGAAACTTAAATACATGTAAATGAATCCTTTTATTGCAACAATTACAAATTCCAGGAACAAATCAATGATGGTAATCTCAAAATGAATACAAAAGAATGTTTTTGTTTGTCTATTTATTTTTTACCCTAACAGTAAACAAGCAATTTTCTCTGCTTTGCACAACTGAACCATGCCATTCCTTTGAAAATTACTTCAAAAAGTATAATTCTTGGTTTGAATCTTGTGATGGCTCAGCAAAAACAGCTCAACTTCATCATTATGGTTCCATTCCAGATCTAATGGACTCGAGAACCTGAATGACCTCAGCCATACTTGGTCTTCTTGAAGGAACATCTGATGTGCAAATCAACCCCAACTTCATGACCTGAATTAATTCATTCTCTGCAAAACCATGCAAGCTTCGATCAAAACAATCTGAAGCTGAGCCCCTCTCCAACAATCCCCTAACATATTCACACAAAATCACTACCTCGTTTGCTGTTGGACTCTCAACTGGTTTCCTCCCAGTTACCAGCTCCAAAAGAATTACTCCAAAACTATAAACATCACATTTCTCACTATGTCTCAAACCTTGAGCCAACTCTGGTGCAACATACCCAACTGCATTGTGGAATTTAGTCAAACCATAGTTATCTAAAATGGGAAGCAATTTCCCCAAGCCATAATCAGACAACTTGGCCTCATAGTTTTCATCTAAGAGTATGTTAGTGGATTTGATGTTGAGATGAAGAATTGGAGGTCTGCAATCATGGTGAAGATAAGAGAGTGCTCTAGCTGTTCCAAGAGCAATCTGGAACCTCCTAGACCAGTACAGTTCACTGTTGCCAACACCAGTACTGGTACCTGGATAATTGAGCCCATGAAGATTGTCATATAGATTCCCATTAGGAACAAATTCAGAAAGAATCAACTGCATTGTTGAGGACCAGTAGTAACCCTGAAGAGCAACCAAATTGGGATGTCGAAGGTTACCCAGTCTTCCAATTTCTTGCTCAAATTCATCTTGGTTTCTGATCCTTCCTAGAGTCTCAAGCTTCTTCACTGCAATCGAGATCCCACCTTCAAAGTTAGTTCTGTAGACTGCACCAATTGATCCACCACCTATTAGACATTCCTTGTCAAGCAATGCTTTGGTGCCAGCTTCCCAATCTTCATATTTTGAAGGTAAGCTCTTGCTGAAGAGGACCAGCTTTCCAATTATAACATTTGAATCTGTCGAACCCGGTGGTGTGCTCTCAACAACCAATGTTACATCCTCCTTCTTGGTCCGGCGGGCCCTGATGTTCATGATGGTTACCACACAAACTCCCGTAAGGATCACAGCAGCAGCAACAATGGCCACAATAGCAGAAACACTAAGGACCTTGGTTTTACCAGGAGTGGAAGTTGGGCCACCTACAGTTGCCGAACAGGGGTTGTCCAATGGAGAACCACAAAGAAAAGGATTGTTAAGAAATGCTGATGCCCCAAAAGATTGAATGGTTTGAATAGTAGGGATGACACCAGAAAGGTTGTTGTAGGAAAGATTAAAATGCGTTAACATTTTCAATTTCCCTAGTGAAGGAGGGATTGCCCCTGATAGTGAATTTTGGGACAGATCAAGATACTGGATTCTGGACAAGTTTCCTAAACTTGGTGGAATGCTTCCATTCAGCCTGTTATCATGCAAGTCAAGGATTTCCATGTTTGAGATGTTGTAAAGGGTATCAGGAATTTCTCCCCCTAGTGCATTTCCAGAAACATCCCTGCAGCAACACAGTAGAGGTTTCTCAGATTTAATTCAAAGCAATGCTGATAAAAATACTAGAATATATCAAGATAGAATTTGGACTCACAGCTCACGAAGAAATCTGCAATTGCTTATATTCTTAGGAATTTCACCAACAAGGTTGAGATTGTGCAAATCTAATACTTGCAGCAGCTCAATGTTCCCAAAATCCACCGGTATTGCTCCGCTTATGGAATTATTAGCCAAACTAATTGCCAAGAGATTAGTTAAAGCACTAAAACCAACTGGAATGCTCCCACTGACTCTATTAAACCCCAAGTCCAAAACCTTAAGGCTTCTACAACTTGAAATGCTCAATGGTATCTCACCATCCAAGCTATTCCATGAAACATCAATAAACTCCATTCCCCCACTACAGGTCCCAATCTCAGAAACTTCCCCTTGAAACCCGTTGTGTGAGACATTAAAGTAAGTAATATTTTTGAATTCAAGAACCCCTAACGGAGCCAATCCAGTAAATGCATTTGTGCTAAGATCCAAAAACACCAGGCTTTGACATCTAGATAACTCTTCTTTTACACTACCACTTAACAAATTGCTTCTCAAAGATACAAATTTTAACACCCCAATATCGCATATATGAGAAGGCAATTCACCACTAAGATTATTGAATGAGAAATCAAATCCTTCAAGGTTACTGCAATTCACAATGGACTGAGGAATCGAACCCGAAAGACCATTCTGAGAAAAAGAAACAAACTTTGTTCTATAACAGCTCTTGAATAAGGCAGATGGTATCTCCCCACTATAACCATTTCTTGAAAAATCAAGAAACCTAATGCCAGGTAAATCACCAATGAAATCTGGTATGGAACCAGATAGTGCATTTGAACTTACATTAATCTTCCACAATGTCTGCAATTGGGCATATTCTCGCGGGATATTACCTGAAAATTGGTTGCCGAACAATGTCAAGACTCTAATCGAGCTTAAACCCGACAGCGCAGGTGAAAGTACCCCGGCAAGGCTGGTGTTCCACAAAACGATCTTATCCACAAACCCATCCGCATTACAGAACACGCCACTGAAATTCACACAAGGGTTGCCACCTGGGAGCCAAGAACTCAAGCTGTTGTAGGGATCACCAGTGATGTTTCCTTTGAACTGGAGCAAAATTTCCTTCTCCGTTGCTGCCAAAGAAACCGTGATGATTCTGATTGCAAGAGAAGCAAGAACCAAATAGCGGAGAGCTTGAGGAACAAGAAATAAAGGGACCCTTCTCATGCTCGAAACACAGCAAATGGATCTACCCGTTTGGCATTATGGGTCCTGGAACAGCTTACGGGAAGATCCAGCTACTGTATCCTCTCCCAATTGCTAATTCTGAAAAATCACGCCTTTGAGCAAAACAACACCACAATCAAGACGAAGTAGCCGCATTTTTCACTCCCTTCAAATAACTCCACTTGATTAAACCAGCTCTCTCCAAACCCACACACATTGCCCCCAGGACAAAACAGAAACACCCATTTCAGCCAAACTTCTCTTCTCCTTGGGTATCCAGGGACTCTCTCTCAATGAATCAAGACCCAAAAACAGAAATTCAGAACTCTTTCTTTTAGTGGGTATGAGCTAAAATCTTAAATTTTTGAGCTGGGAACTAGGAGAGAGAGAAACAGATAGAAGAAGAGGAAAGGAAGTATGGAGAAGTAGAATGAAAATGGTGAGAAATGGAGAACAAACCTTTCTGTAAAGGAAGCAGGTGAGGCAATTTAATAACTTCTACTAGAAAAAGGTCTCTAATTTATGTTTATATATGATTAAGGATGACAACAAGAGAGAAGGAACCACGTGCATGAGCATTTGGTCTCTGTATTATATGTAGAACATTGGTATGTGTTGAGCATAGAAAGAAACCCCACTCTGTCTTGCTTGCTCACCACCATGTTTAGGTAGGGCCTTGTTCTTGTGCATTTATTCTCCTCTACCAAACTCACTTCCAGCACCAAATTATTAGCAGAAACAACTAAAACAATTGAAGGGAACGGGAGGAAAACGCAAAGGAAGAAGAAGAAGCAGCCGAAGGAGAAATGATGGGGGTGGTTTTTGGCTTTTGTTGACTGGGTTGTTTCTTTTCCTTTAGAGCATTGAAGTTTCTTTCCATCTTAATTTATATTGTCGATTGAGACACTGAGAAGACATCCGTTGCTTAATTAATTTTATTATATTTTGTTTAACAAGACCTCAGATTGTGGGCATTTTCCTTTGGCTTCGGTTAAGGTTATTTTTAAATTTGTTAAAATTTGTTAAATTGTTATATTTTCATTGTATTTTATTATTAAAAATAATTATTAATGGTTAGTTATTTAAATAATCTAATAATATTTTTTTATAAAAATAAAATTTTTAAATTTAAATAACATGATATATATAAAAAATTAATATTTTATTATGTAATTTAAGATTTAAAAATTAATGAATAACTAATAACACTTTAATAGTTATTATTTAAAAATAAAATTATAAATATAATATAAATAACTTTAATAAAATAAATCATGATAATAATCCCAACCCTATTGATTTTACAAGTAAGGACAAAGAAAAGGTCAAAAAAAAAAAAACAAAATTAATGAAGGGGATTCCACTATTGTTCCAGCTGGATGTGGTCATGTGGGATTTGGGAATCTTCTCCCTCTCCCTCTCCCCTCCCCTGCTGGATCCATTTGCAATTTTTGCATGCTTCTGCAACAACAAGATGTTTTTCCTAATTAATAAGCCACTCATCTTAACCAAATTCCATTTTTATGTTTGTTGCAATTGACCCTATGCACTCTACGTAGACTGAAAGAATCAAAGGTCAAGAAAACACACAAAGAGAAGCTGTTAAAGAGTCCTGACACTATTTAATGACCGTTGATTTTAATGTTGGTGAGGTTGGATCATCTTAACTACTACCAATGTTTTCATTGCCTCCAATTTAAGTCAAGGGTTGTTTTAACGGATATCATTTTATTATAAATAAATATATATATGTATAAATTATAAAAGTTAATATTAAATTTAAAATTAAGATTGTTTTAATATGTATTTTTAAAGTATAAGTTAATGTTTTCATTGCCTCCAATTTAAGTCAAGGGTTGTTTTAACGGATATCATTTTATTATAAATATATATATATATGTATAAATTATAAAAGTTAATA